AAGGACAGATCACACACACCAAAGGAGAGCAGATCACACAATAAGTATGAGCCCTGGATTCCAAGGCAGGGAATAACATCAGGACTCTGAGGAAGAAGACACGCTTAATCCTAAACTGCAAACCAAGAAGCCACATCTGACTGGGATTTATCTAAGTAGCTGTGGTCAACTGCTCCAAATCACCACACAGGTATAGGGATTTTGATAAGAGCAGATTTCAAAGGTTCCAGACCAATACTACTCGCTCAGGCTGGACTTCTACTTCCGCCCACCTCCAGGTTCTCTCACGCTCACCTGCAGAGTCTGAACGTGGAGTGTCTCCATCTCCCACCCATGGCTCTTCGCCTTGCTCCAACTTGAAGATGACGTCTGGCTTCATAACTTCATAGCCTGTTGGGGGGAAATCACCAAGGACATGGTTCTGGCTCCTGGGCTTCAGGGCCTCTGAGGAAGCAGCAGGGCTTAACAGAGGGTCTTCATCTCAACAGACAATTCTCTTGAGTCATGACAACAGCTGCCTCTGTGGTGAACAGGTCTAAGGATCTTTGACTGCTCCACTCGGCACTGTCTCTGGAGCCACACCACAGGGTTCAACTCCAGGCTCTTTTGGCCTTCTTGCTCTCAGTCACTGGGACAGTTACTTTACTTCTCTTTGCCTTAATTTTCTTCTCAGGAAAAAAGGGTACCTACCACGCAGGACTGCTCCAATGCCTAAACTGGTGGATTCCCTCCTGTGAGGCACCTGGGGTGTGCAGTATGCAGCACAGCACACGGCAGACACCCACCCACTGTCACCACTACTCATCAGTTAGGTTTCTGACAACAAACTTAAGATTTCATTATTGGGAAGGTGGGATCCAGATACTTTCTTGCCAACATAATCCAAGACTTTTACTTCCTAAATTCTGGTCCAAAATCATTAAAAAATTCAGAAGCATTAAGCAACTTTATTAAAAAAGAGAAAAGCAATGCATTGGACATATTCTGAGGTCCCTGAGGAATCTTTTCTTACCCAGTGACACTAGGACGTGGTAGTTCTCCAGCATGACATCCTTGTACAAGGCCTTCTGATGGGGACCCAGTAACAGCCATTCTTTTTGGCTAAAGGCCACACATAGATCTTCAAAGGAGAATGATTCCTGGAAGAGCACAATCCCAGTGAGCCGGAGGTGTTCATCACTGCCTGATCCTGGAGAGGTGTGCCCAGCTTGACACACTGCTCTCACAACTGCACGTCACACAGACACCTACTATGTCCCTCTGGGTTTTTTTCTTTTTTCTGGAGGGGACAGGTGGACAGGAGTGATACCTAAGATTACAGTCAGAGTTTGTGCACTCCAGGCAACTACTCTACCACCAAGCTACATCC